CATTTATCTGGTAAAAAGGTAAAAATCCCATTATTTTGTTAAAAATTGCGAAACAATCATGTCTAGATATGTAACTATCACGTTGATGTTATGTTGCAGAAGAAACGGGTTTATCTGAGAAGAGCAACTCTTCAGTCTGCTGCTGTTGAACATAACTTACAATACATGATTCAGTTATAACTCCAAATAAATAGCATTAGAGAATTTATTTTCACTGAGCTCTAGTCTAAATAATATAGCGTTTTATATTATTTTAAAATGTTTTAAACCAAGTTCATTGCAGTGTCATTCTCATAATCAGAAACTGCTTTTTTCCAACCAATAAATATTTCTAGGTTTAAGTCTCGTGTTAAAAGCTGAATTACAGATGATTATCCAAGCTTTTATTTAATCCCGTCTGGATTATCGTAACAGTCTCTTCATGTGTTTGACCGAGAAGGATCTTGATTGTTTGCAGACAGTTCAGAATGCTGCTGCAAGACTTTTAACCAACACACAGGAAACACAGCACATAACACCAGTTCCATTGGTACATTTTAGAATTCATTCACAGCACTTTGTTGTTTCTGACCTGTAAAAGGTGCTATATAAATAAAATTTACCTGCTTACTGACTTGATTAATACACTATTAATGTTTGTCTGTTTATGCACAAACATCAAAGATATTATTCACGTGTGTCAGAACTTCTGAAGAACTGGTTTTATTGTCAAGATAAATCAGATTTGCTGACGGGTGTTTAGTATTTGCTGAATATTTATCACGTAGAAAACATGTCTGATCACATTGATAGCAGAAAATTGGAAAATGTTTCCTTTGAGACTAAATGATTAGCGATCCATAGCTTACAAACATCCCCTTGCTATCTTAAAGGAACATTTCAGACATTTTGAAGTGGAGCTCTGTGAAAATGTTATGAAAATTTTAGGTATTTTGTTGTAGTCAGCGATTTTTATTTGTTTAATGCTGCCATTTAAAATATAATCAAAAATGGCAAGCGAATGCACCAGTGCACGTCCAACAAATTTTCACTGATTCATATAGACTATTTGCGACGAGCAGCAGTGGCTGCTAGCTGTAGCACTTCCTGCACAGCCTGAGGCACTTCCAGTAGTTCTATAGTTCTTCTAGAATAACAAGAAGTTGTGATTGCATTATAACGTTTGCATGAAATTCTATGACCTTTTGAAGACTGAAGATGGAAGTGGCTCTGCATGGACAAGGTCCCCTTTACAGATATATCTCAATCTCAGTGGGGATTTAATCTGATTAAATAAAGAGAATTCTGTTCAGTTCTATTTAGTAAAAAGTTATCTGCCTAAAGAAGCCAGCAGATTGCATTGAAGCTCCACTTTGTCACAACTTTCCATCCTTTGCAGCACACAGGCGACAGTAGGAAGGAAAAGGTCCCCCCCTCTAAAAGAACAAGGCTCAGGATAAGCTGCATCTGCCTCACCTGGTTGGGGAAAGAGGGGACAGGAAAGTGATTCATACAAACACAAAATGACTGTAACCTTTACAGTTTTATGGTGGTTCATGAACCACTATTAAAACACCTTCAGTTTCACATTTGATGTATATTTTTAACAGAAGTATGATGATGTTCCTGTCTAAGATGAACCCCACTTTAGAATGTCTGAAATATCCCTTTTATAATCTGCAGCTCAAATTGACTTATTTCTTTTTACTTAATAGATAAAAACAAAGTTGGGTTAGTCTTATGCAACATTTATCATTTTAACTGTGTGAATGTTTATGAAGCATTCACACTATTGTGATCCATTTTTCTTCCGTACATTCTTCGGCGCGTTTCTCGTTGTGTTACAACCTTTTGCTGCTCCTTTCACATTTTGTTCTGCTTCAGCTTCTTTCAGCTTCCTTGTGCAAATTTAAACAATTTTTCAGGTAATTTCAGCAGTTTTTTTCAGCTGTTTGTGCTCCTTTCAGATTCTTTCTGCTAACTATAATATTTTTGAGCTTCTTCTAAATCCTTTCTGCTAATGTCAGCTACTCATTTTATCTTATTTCTGCAAGTTTGGCTTCTGCTACTATTTCAGCTACTATATAGCTGTTTTTATGCTATTTTAAGCTTTTTCAGCTAATTCCACTTTTTTTTTGACTCATTTAAAATTTTAAAGCCTAATTCAGCAAAAATTTGCTCTTCACTTTCTTCTTGTAATTTAAGCTAATTTTTGCCTTTTTTTAAGCTACTTTTCAGCTTTTTTGTGCTATTTTCAGCTTTTTTCAAATAATTTCTAATTTTTGTGCTAATTTCTGCTTCTTTCAGCCTAACTGGACAAACATGTTCTTTCTGCTTTCTTCTGCTAATTTAAGCTTGTTCTACCTTTTCAGCGACCTTTATAGAATTTTTTTTAGCTAATTTCAGCAGTTTTTTTTCTTATGATAAATTTAAGTTTTTCTTGGCGATTCCTGCTACTTTGAGTCTAATTAACTTCTTTCTGCTAATTTTAGCTTATGCTCTTTTCAGCTCTTTTCAGCTGTTTTCATCTTTTTTTTCTTTTTTTGCTATTTCAGCTATACTTTATCAGGTCTCTCTTGTAAATGAGTCCTCGAGGCTCAATGGGATTTACCTGTCTAAATAAATAAAGGTTGAATGAATACTATTTAGCTGTTTTTATGCAAATTTTAGCTTTTTCTTCTAATTCCAAATTTTTGGAGCTCATTTCAGCTCTTTCCACTTCCTTCTGGTAGATTACCGGTGAGCTTCTTTCTGCCTTTTCAGCTACTTTTTATATTTTTTGTGTGTGCTAATTTGAGCCTTTTTTTAAAGCAGATTTCCTAAATGTTCTGCTCATTTCTGCTTAGTTAGACCTAATTCAGCAAATATGTGTTATTCTGCTTTCTTCTGATAGTTTAGGCTTGTTCTTCCATTTCAGCTAAAATTCAGCATGCTTTTCTAGCTCTTCTAGCTCAAGCAGTAAGTTCTTCTGCAGTAAGTATTGATACTGCATTTTCACAGGAACTGCAATTTCCCTAGTTCACTTTATATTCAGGTACGAAATGTGTTTTTGGATGATTGTTTTTTTCTTTTTTGCACAGTTCTCATTTCAAACTTTAATTTATGTGTAATTAATTTACAGAATAATGACAATAATGAGGGTCTGGTATTTGGGAGGATGCAGATGACTTGAAGCAACAACCTGTGATAAATTTTAGTATTTGAGCCACGAGAATGAAATCATTTATAACTTGTAGGTACCTCACGGTCCTGTTTGACTCAGAATACATGGAACTAACGATCTCCCTCAGTGTGTTGCACTCAGCTCGTCTTCTCAGGCCTGGTGTTTGTTTCCCCTCTGGATATTTTTCACACAGTGTTGTTGCTCTCAGTCTGAGAACATTGTAATTTAATGAGTTTGTATGTTGCGCTCTTTGTTGTAAATTAGTGTCAGTTTGCGTTCCCTTCAAAGAAAACGAGTTTGATTTGTTCAAAGCAGGAAGTGAAGCTGCTGCTTTAATGAAAGATGCTTTTATCTGTATTTCTGTGTGTGTGCTGAGAGACATGGAGGGGGGGTGTTTGGGGTTGGGCAACAGATTTCTCATCTTTAATCTAAATTAATCTGAACTCACACGGGGATACGAAGACGTCTAAATAACGAACGCTTTCGCAGCAAAGCGTTGTGAAGGATGTGGGTGATTTTGACGCGTGGCGAAGCCTCCATTTCATCAGCAGGTTGTTTTTAGACAAGCTTCCATCAATACTGACAAATTTAGTCTGCCTCGTGAGATGAAGATCCAGGAGGGGTGGGGGAACGGGCCGGTCCGCTCGTGTGAAAGTGAGCGGGAGATCACCCGTGGCTCATTAATATTTCACCAACAATAAGGCCAGGTGTCACTCATGCTCGTCGCCGCGGTAATGAGCTCGCATCGGCCTCTTAAAGATCTGCTTCTCATGCAGCCGGGAGGGAGACGCACCGAACGGCAGCACACGTGCAAAATCTCTCCCAAGGTCAGAGAAATGCAAAGGCCCGAGATGTTTGAAGCCTTTACCTGCGCAAAACGCAGGGAGTGGGGGAGAGGGGGTTCATTTTCATAAAGGTTTTCACCTCGGCCGGGGAATTGGGGATTAACATTTCAACTGCTGAATCTAATCAGCACCTGTCAGGAGCAATCTGTGTTTTTATTTACCTGCGCAGCTGCTAAATATTCCACTGATTACTGCAGGAGGATAAATAACCCATGCACCCTGAATGCATCATTAAAAATCATCATTTAAAACTGTGGTTTGAAAAAAGGGCAAGGACCTGTAAAGAGATAAGAACTATTTTATGGGACATGCATGTGCGGTTTCAAATTTCTCCCTGTTGAATCATACATGTTGCACGTAATTTCATGTTTCTTCTTCGTGTAGCTCACCTACCGCAGACAAGCTATAATTAATCGGGCGGCCCCGGAAACACAAATACGTGAAGTATTTCTGGCACCTCCGCTCCAGCTTCTGTAAATAATCAGAGGTAACGAACCAATTAAGTCGCTGAACCAGCCGAGTGTTCTTGTGTGGGTAAAGAGAACGCCTCGGTGAAAGTTAGCAGCTCGTTACGAAGGCTTCTAATTAACAAGCCGTTTGTGAGAGGTGCTAATTAAGAAAGCAAAGAAAAGGTTTGTAAATGTGCTCGGTTTAACCAACATGTCAAAATAAAACACATCTTATCAGTATATTTATTTAACAGTGTTTTAGAATATCAATACATCATTAACATTTATGCTTTTACTGAAACCCTCCTTATATAAAGTAAATACAATGTACTGCTCAGTTATGCATGAAAAGCTCCTGGAACGACATGTGAATATACATATTAACAATAATATTGTAAAAGTCATTCGTAGATCTTTGGCACAAAAAACGTTCAACTCAGTTTGTTGGACATGATGCTTCGGATAAAATAGTAGGTTTAAGTATTTAGTTTTTAACTTAAAAAGCTTCAAAAATCAGGAAACAAAAGTAGAAATGTATCAAAAGAGGTTATTGTGATAACACTGAAAGTGTGTATCTGGTTTAAAGTTGTAAACAGTTTTTTAAAAAAATTTAAGAAACCTTGAATTTGTTTCACCTGAATTTTCACAAAGTATATTGTAGTGATTAAACGTTTTGGCTTCATTGTTCGTAGATGTACCGATATCTGCTCCAACTATAAATGTTTCTGTATATATCTGTGTTAAACTCATTGCTGAGCTATAAATAGATCTTAACTGCACCTCTGTCCTCATTTAGCCCTCATTCACTGGAAGGCGTCGGGCTTCTCGTGAGATCAATGAGTCCCACACCGTCAGGGCGTGGGATCAGGTTGCAAACATCTGATCCCTCGCTCCGTCTCCACCATCATCCAAACCCGATGTCCCCCGGCGGCCTCTCAGCTCATGAACTGCGTGTAGCCCTCTGCACCCGTCACTATGACATCCATCCAGATCCTCATGGCCTCTGGAGACGGAGCCACCATGAAGTAAAGTCGGTCGTGGGTTTTCACACAGAAGGTCAGAGATGGATTGGGGCTCTGCATCGCAGAAAAAAAAACACTTTATTTCACCAAAAGTTGTACTTGTTGCATTTTTTTTTTATAAAGTTAGAATCAATATCACCTAAAAGTTTAATACAATCGAGTTAAAGTGTTTCAGTCTGTCTTTTTGAGTGCAAACAAACAGTTTATTGATATACTTGTATTTCATTTCAATCAGGTTAACACCAAACAATAAAATAAATAAAAAATACAAAAATATACCAGTTCAAAAGTAGAAATATACACTAAAGATAATAATAATAATAATAATAATAAAAAAAACAGGTGATTAAATAAGACTTGCCAGCATTTTCAAAGTTTGATTCAAAGTTTGATTTACTCACAATATTATTAGAATACTTGGAAAAAAATAAAGGCTTGTTCTTAACTGAGTGTATCTACTGGATGGATGGATGATAGATGATTGATGGATGGATGATGGATGGATGATGTATAGACGGATGGGTGGATGACTGTATGATGTATAAATGATGGATGAATTGATGGATAATGGATGGATGATGTGTAAATGATGGATGGATGGATGGATGGATGGATGATGAGCCATGGATCTTGATGGATGATGGATAATAGATGATGAATGGATGGATAAACGGATGATGGATGGATGGATGGTGGATGAATGATGGATGGGTGATGGATGGATGATGGATGAAAGATGGATGGATGATGGATGGAGGATGAATGATGGAGGGATGATGGTGGATGGATGATGGATGGATGATGGGTAAATAATGGATAATGGATGGATGGATGATGATCCATAGATCTTGATGGATAATAGATGATGAATGGATGGATGTATGATGGATAAATGGATCATGGATGGTGAATGATGGATGTATGATGGATAAATGGATGATGGATGGTGAATGATGGATGGATGATGGATGGATGTGTTAATGTTAGGCGTTCAGTCGTATTAAACTTGATTAAATCTCTGCTCGATGCTCGTCTCTGAGTTCACTGATGAATTCAGGACCATCTTTCATGTTTAGAGCCGTCGGTGAAGTCCAGTGTTTGGAGGAACAGGGTTACCTTGGCGGCGCTGCGTAGATGATCATAATAAACCTCTTCAATGGCCTGGAAGTAGATGAGCCCCTTCAGCTTGGTCTCATGCTTGTCTGAGAGCAGAAACGGAGGAAACATTAGATTAAGACACATCACAGTTGTAGCTCTGACACAAGAGCTGCCAGCCCCGGCAGCAAGCAGGAGGATCAAGTCCCGGTTGACGGAAAATATCTGAGGAACAGCGGAGCGACGGCACACAAATCAAATAATCTGACGTTTACAACATTTACTGTGTTCTCAAACAGGAATAAACAGAACATTTAAATGTACACTCCGTTAAATATATGTTAAAAATAAATATCTAAATTCTCTAGATGGATAAAATAAAGAACATTTAACACACACACACACACACGGTAATTTGTTGTCGTGATTGTTTTACTTGACTTTTGTCCTCTTTGTTATTGTATGTGGACAGAAAGAAAAGTCCATCATTAATCCCTTTTGTTTTTATTGAAAATGAATTAAATAAATACAATTTAGACCCTCTACTTTTAATTATCAGCAATTCAAAAGTTAAAACTAGATACATTTATATATTTATTGTACCTTCACTGAATTATTTCTTATTCTCAGGCAGTCAAAACAGGAATACTACAGGTGTGTCTAAAAAAAAAAAATAGAAAATGGTACAAAAAAAAAAAACAATCATTTCCGAAAGTGAAACTCATATTTTATATAGATTAATTACACAGAGTGAAATATTTCAAGTCTTTATTTCTTGTCATTTGGATGATTTTGGCTTAAAAATAATGATGTTTTATGTTTCAGAAAATTAGAATATTGTGAAGAGGTTGTAAACTCATGATGTCTCACCCTGAGCAGCTGATTAACTCCTGGACATGAGCTACAAATGTCTCAGTCCTCAAGTCCAGACACTCCTGAACCAGAGACAACATCAGAAGCGTCTTACCTGCTGAGGAGACAAAGAACTGGACTGTTGTTCAGTGGTCCAACGTCCTCTTTTCAGATTAAAGTAAATGTTCATGTCATTTGGAGATCAAGGTCCCAGAGTCTGGAGGAAGAGTGGAGAAGTCCAGAATCCACACACGAAGTCCAGAGAGAAGTTCAGTCAGTGATGGTTTGGGTCCATGTCCTCTGCTGGTACTGGTCCACTGACGCTTCATGCTTCCTTCTGATGGGCTTTATGGAGATGCTGGTTTCATTTTCCAGCAGGACTTGTCTCCTGCCCACACTGACAAAAGTACCAAAAGCTGCCTGTGGAATATTCTCATTTTCTGAGACACTCGGTTTAATTTTTTTAATTATTTATAAGACATGATCATCAAAATTACAAGACATAAAGGTTTGAAATATTTCACTCACTTTCTGAAATGATTAATAAAAACGTAAAACCTTTCCACAATATTCTAATGTTTTGAGGTTCACCATTTAGATGAAGAGGTCAGACACATAAAAAAAAAAAGGTATTTCTCCCAGAAACCCATGAACAGGTGTGAGCAGAACTGTGTGGAGGTAAAAGTTAATTAAAAGTGTGAGTCTATTTCAAGCGATGCCTGAAGTCTTCACCATCCTTTGAATCTGACTTGTTTCCTTCTCTTCTAAAGTTGCCTCTTTTCCCTCCCTCTTTAGTTGCCTTTTGGCTGCTGGCGCGGATGTAAATTTGTATAAATGTTGAAAAGAAACTGGATATTTTGGATATCACTTTTGATCTTCTTGTTTAAAACTTGGCTTAAAGCAGGTCAGACCTTCTGTCCGTTCTCCGTTCGTCGTTGAGCTGCACTGAGCTGATGGGTTTTTGTGGTTCGGGGCCGAACTGCGGGCATTTAAAAGTAAAGAAGTACTTCTGACGTTCCTTCAAAAACACTTTCTGGAGCCCAGCCTCGTTCACAAACACTGGTCTTCTTTCGCTCCTCATGTAATACGATGGGCCCAGCGGAGAAACAAATCCACTAACAATTAAAGGCAATCTTTTGAAATTTATTCTTCACTTCATTTTTTTATTTTTACTTTTCCAAAAGTCAAATCTGCTTAGTAATGAGATAAATGTTTTTGAAATGTGAGCTTCGTTTCATTAGTCACGAACAAGCCAGGAGCTAGCCTCCTCCCCAAGAAAAACACATCTAGAGAAACTCTTGCATCTTATTTCATCACCGTCATCACCATCATCTTCGTCAGGAGTGAGGGGGTGAAAGGGCTTGGCAAGTGAATGGAGAGAGGAGCAAAAAAAAAAAAAGAGCCGGGGTGCCAGTAATAAAAACATGCTCGGGTTCTGTTTTGAACTTTGATTGGAAGATAACGCTTCAACAGCTCTTGAAAACAACTCTTGTTTCAAACTGGTAAAAGACGAAGTTAAACACACGGACTAAAGTTTGAGCACAAAGGAACACGGATCAAAAGCCAGCCGGTGGTTTAATTAAGTTCAGCAGGAATAAAGACGTCGTGAGGCTGATGTCCTCCGGAGTCTCAGCGCTCATGTTTGAACTGAATTTATCTGGTGAACAGGAACAAACCTGCACCGAAAGTTCACGACTTGGATCGGTGGAAAGAGGACCACGACTAGAACTGAGAAAAAACCCCAACAGGAACCTTCATCAACTGTAAAATTAAAGTAACTCCATTCTGATGTGAAGACCTGTTTATTTTGTGAACAGACTAGGATTCATTTCAAATACCAAATGTATTTGTTCTTCTCCATCCATCTTCTACCTCTTACCCGTAGTCGGGTCACAGAGGCAACAGGTCTAGGAGAGAAATCCAGGCCTCCCAGTGTCCCAGCCACCGTTTCCAGCTCCTCCTGGTGGACCCAGAGGTGTTCCCAGGTCAGAGACACAGTCCCTTCAGAGGTCTGGGTCTTCACCGGGACCTCTTCTCAGTGAGACATGCCCAGAAGACCCTCCAAAGAGGGGCATCCAGGAGGAATCCAAATCAGATGAACCACCTCAACTTACTCCTTTCGATGCGGAGGAGCAGCGGCTCTACTCCGAGCTCCCCCCAGATGACGGAGCTCCTCACCCTACCTCTAAGGCTGAACCCGGCCACCCTACGGAGGGAGCTCATTTCAGCTGCACGGATCCAGGATCTCGTTCTTTCCGTCATGATCCAAACGTCATGACCACAGGTCAAGGTTGGAATGCAGACACACCAGTAAATCCAGATCTGTGCCTTTCAACTTAACTCTTTCTTCACCACAACCAACCGAAGCAACAGCCTCAATACTGAGAACAAGGCCCCAATCTGTAGATCCATCCTGCCATTGCTCAGGAACAAAACGCCGAGATCCTGAAACTCCTTCATGCGAGGCAGACTTCTCCTCCCCCAGATGACCCTGAAAACGGGGTCGAGATGGGGAAGAGGTAGGGCAGCTGACTCAGGACCCGAAAGACCCAGGTTCAATCCTCAGCCATTCCCACATGCTGTGGTGTCTGAGCAAGACACCTAATCCCTAATTGCTCCTCGGGCACCTACATAGCTGCTCACTGCTCCACCTGGGTGTATCTCAGGTGTGATGGGTTAAATGCAGAGAACTAATTTCACCATGGGAACATACAATGACAACAACACATAGTACTTAATATTTTGGTATTTGTTCTGTAAAGCTGGAACTGGTTGGGCTTTTAACAACAAAATTGTTTTCAGAGGTCTGTCTTTTTATTTATTTTTTTAGCTTCAAAAGCACATTTCAGGGATCCCTTGTTTTACTGGATCTTTTCATTGGGCCTTGTGTTTTCACCATATTTGCAACAGTCAACTGTGCATTTTTCTGCAGCTTATCTGTGGCCTGCTTGTGGAGGTCTAAGTGGGAACCCCTCTCCCCAGTGACACTCTCTAAGCCACAGAAAATAATTGTGTAATCCCTTGTACAAGTTCTTGGTCTGCCCTGAGGGTCTCTTCCCAGTACCCATAAACCTTCAGAGAAAAGCACCCAGAAGGAATCCTAATCAGACACTCAAACCACCTCAGCTGACTCCTGTTGATGCAGAGGAGCATCAGTTCTACTCCAAGCTTCACCTGGATGATGGAGCTCCTCACCTCATCTCTAAGGCTGGGCACCCAACAGAGGAAGCTCATTTTTAGTCAGTTGTATTCTGGATGTCATTTTTTGATCATTCATGTCTCATGGCTAAAGGGAAGAGTTGCAACTTAGACAGACCAGTTAGAGCTGGTGAATCTCAGGTTAATCTGAGTCACTCACTAAAGGCATGTGATTCATTTGACTCACTTTAATCACGCTGCTCCAAAAAAGAAGCTATGGTGGTAGACGTTAAGGATCCCAACTCATCTGAGTCCGCATCATTTCCAAGGACTCTAAGCCAACTAATCTAAACCCACAATGTTTTTTTTGTTTGTTTGTTTTTTTGGCAAGTCATAACTCGTGGATTTTACTTGAGTCTGCCAGAGAACATGGAGGATCCAGGTTAATAGAAACCTCCAACTCATATGAGTCCTGATTCAGTGTGAGGATTTGGATTATTAACCCCAGTGAGTCAGAACCTGACCTCAGACGGAGAGGAGCTGACTGTCATCTCAGCTGCTCCACACTCGGCTGCAAACCGTCCCAGTGCACGCTGAACGTCGTGGCTTAAAGACGCCAACAGAACCACATTATCTACCAAAAGCAGAGGTTCCCAGACCAGACACCCTCTCCTCTACAACTGCACCTTCAGAGCCTGACCACGAACAAAATGGGGAAACAGGAGGCAGCACTGGTGGGGTTCAACTTGCACCGGGAACAAGCTTGACCCTTTGCCAAGGGTGCTGAGACATCACTTGCTTTATATTATTTAGGGACTGGATGGCCCCTAAAAGTGCCCCCCACCCGCCATTCTACCACAACACTCCTCGTGAACACGGTCATAAGTGTTCTCCAGATCCACAAAACATGTAGACTAGAGTCAAACTCCCATGACCCTCTTCGCAACTCCTCAAGGGAAAGGTCCAGAGTCCCACGACCCGGACAAAAGTCACAACTCTCTGCACCGTTTTCATTTTAGTTACTTAATTTAAAAAAAAAATAACAAAATCCTGAGTTTATTGCCTGAGTAGGAATTTTAAAACATGGCACTAAATTACAGGATTTGTTCACTCTAAAGGTCACAAGCGAAACAAACGTCCCCAGTTCTCTGTAGTTTACATAACAGAACAATATAATGTAAAATGTGAACAGTTTGGGCTTTTAGAACCCGAAATGGCAGAAATGTGTTAAAATTTTCTCTGAAACCCAATTTTGTACATGCTGGAGGTTTGCATGAGGCTAACCTCTCAACATGCGTGACTTATGTAAGGTCCAAAACAAAAAGTCCAATTATCTAATAAACTATTAAAACACAAAAACAAATGCGTGTTATTTAAAACTGACACTCCTCACCGATGTAATAACAGATGTTCCTCTTGAGACGGTCAAAAACGAACCAGCGTTTCTTCCACGACTTGATTTTCCCGCCCATCTTCACCAGGTGGCCTTTACACATCTTCTCTGTGAGGATGACGAAGGGGCAGGTGTCGATGCTGTGGCCACACGACTCCACGTGCGCTCGCAGGTCGAACTCCTCCTTGCGGTTCGGCAGATAACGCGTCATTGGACGAGCCTGTGGTGGAAAAAAAAAAATTCTAAACGCTGCGTTGAATTAAACTTTTCTTTGACTAGTATTTAAAGAAAATCTTTGTATTTTAATTTGGGAGGATAGTTAGGTTTAGCTGATTAACCCTTTCTGAACAGTTCAGTGACTGGGATTGTTTTCTTTATGTGTTGGACTGTTGGGATAGTCTCCATTAAATGGAATATACAGATGGACAAAACAATGCAAACAAATAAAGGGATTTAAATCTCTAATATGAGTCCTTTATTCCAAATTAAAGCTTCGTTCATGGTCTTTATTCAGTGTAACTGGTTGTTTTGAACCAGTCTGACTTGTGTTTTCTCCCATTCTGCTAACTGCAGGTATTTCTACTATAGGAAAATTCACATCGGTATTCAAACAATTAAGTTTAGTCAAAGTAAAATTTATTCATAAAGCACATTTAAAAACTTTTACCAAAGTGTTGAACAATAAAAGACAAAGGCAGAGATTTAAAAAAACAACTAATTAATTTAAAAGCATCAGAAGAAAATAAAGAGTACAGAACAATAAAATACTAAAACAACTCACACTGGGTTAAAAGTCAGTGAAAAGAGGTGTGCTTTAAGAAGAGATTTAAAAACAGGAAGTGATGTTGGAGGGGCAGATTGTTCCAGAGTGTAGGAGCCCCATCTCCTCCGATCTTCATCCTGGTTTCCAGGATGACCAAAAGCAGCTGATTAGATGATCTCAGCGCCCGAGGACGAGGCCATTTAAGCATTTATAGGCCAGCAGGAGAAATTTAAAATCTATTCTGTGACCCACAGGGAGCCGGTGAAGGGAGGATAAAACCGGTGAAATATGCTCAAACCTATGAGTTCCTGTTCAGAGCCGTAAAGTTGAGATAAAATCGGCAGTAAAGTATTTTTAATTTTGTCATCATTCTGCCCACCTTCAGACCACTCAAGTCATCCAATAATGATACCTTTATGGATTCAGTAGTTTCCAACAATCTCTGTGTACCGTTTGGTGCTGCAGGTGCCAGAAGTGTACATATGAGCAAAGCATGGCTCGAGGGCCAAAGGTGGCCCTTAGTCCATCTCCATTTGGCCCACAACATAATTATATGATAAAAAAACAAAATTAAAAACAACAACATATATTTTGAAACGTGAAAACAAAGATTTTGTTGACTTTAACTTGCTTTTATCAACAAAAAGACATTTCCTGTCAGGTTTAAACTCTTTTTTTTTTTTTTTTGACCAGTTAATGTTTGTATGACTGAATTAGACTAACTGTTGCTGGTAAATTATGCCATTATTATATTATAATAATTCCAAAAGGAACAAAGCCTTGAAAGCATCTTTAGCAGAATATTTAATTAACAAAGCAGTCAGTGACACACAAACATAGCTGAGCTACATGTTGTCACATAAGCTAAATACAACAAGCATTTTCTGACTGGATTTTTAAATATGTGATATATTTTTATTTTTTATAATAAATGTGTAGCACTGAGCCTGAGTGGGTTCCTGTACTCAAGTCACACGTTGACTTAGATCTGAAGAGTTGTGTGCTAAGTACTTTGGGGCTTTTTGATCAACTTTAGACACACTCATTTTATTAATTTATTTATTCATTTCAAAATGTCACAAAAAGTGCAAGGAATCGTCCGAATATTTAGGAAATTTAGCATGATACACATGATTTTACCCATTTTGTTATGTAACTGGCAGATTTTCTTTTGAACTTAGTGCAGCCAAAGTGAAACAGGAAGTGACATCAAAGGGGAACTCTTTTAAAAACGGGAACTTCCTGGTCTTTGTTGATTAAATATTATCTGAACTATGACTTTTTGTCATCTTTCTCTGATAGAGACTCAAAATAATCTAAAGAAACGTCAGATTCCTCTCTGCTGCCTGTGTTGTTAGCCATTGTAGCAACGCTCTGTTTACATGCAGGCGTTCCCCTTTGACATCACTTCCTGTTGCTGCGCATGCGAATATCAAAACGACTGCTCAGCTCAGCGGTGTGAAATTGTGTTTGCAATACGTTATTAATGATATCTTTTGATAAATGTATTCAGATTCATTGCTGAAATTTGATGTCACAGACACTTTAAAGTTTAAAGATCTTTAAAAAAAAAAAATCACCATGCGGACACGAGTCAGTTCCGTATTTGTTCAGCCACTTAATTCAGCCACATTTAAAACTTAATAAAAAATAAAATGTTTGTCTGGTTTCTTTTTGTTTTCCCTTCACCCTCCCCTCCTTTCTCTGACGATCTTTGATCTTCTTTTTACACCCAGCCTCCTTTTAACGTCTCGCCTCTCATCCTCCTCCCGCTGCTCCACTGACCTGAGAGAAGTGTTTCTCTCTCATCTTCACCTCCTCCTCCACCAGCCTCCGCCTGTGGGCCGCCTCATCCTGAAGCCTCCTCTCGGCCTCCTCTCGCCTCCTCCGCTCCTCCTCCAACATCTGCCGCCGAGCCTGCACCTCCCTCTCCTGGGAGCGTCGGGACAGGGGAACGAAAGAACAGACGCAGAGAAGAAATAATAATGGAAGGGGGAAAAGGGAGATGGGGAAATATGTTAATGGAAGGCAAATATTGCAAAACAAAGCAGGTGACTGTCAGAAGACGCAGGAGAATTGGAGTCCCAATCCAGGGTTTTGTAAAATCTCTCCCTTTAGTCTGAGTGTGCAGGGGGGAAGCTTTGCTGATGTAAAATGATCCTTTGCAGCTTTCAGACATTTACTCACATGCCTGCTTTATTTCAACATAAAGATGAAATTACAAAGATAAACTAAATGTTTTACGGCTTCATTTCACCATATCTGAAGCTCGCTGTTCACTTCGACGTCTCGCACTTCAACTCAAAGTTCCACCCGCTCTCCTCTCAGCGGAGATAAATTAAGTTTTTTACTGTTTTCACATATCGAATGGAAAAACCACTCGTTTTACATAAATGTAAAACAAAGTTATTGTGATAGTTTTAGATGAGACTTGGTGTTCATTTATGCACTGCAAATAAAAGTTCTCTTGACGCAAACATCAATATTAAATTAATATTTACAGAACTGTTTGCTGATAAGGAAAACAATACTTTGCACAACAGTTTCTTAAACGTATGCCGAATCCTGCACAGCATTAAAGCTGCAGGATCAATTTACAAGAACATTTCAGTCACAGGATCTTTGTCCAAACGTCACAGAGACATAAACTCTCAAATATGTTGAATAAATCATTCACTCTATTCAGACAAATTAAGTGCAAAAGAACAAAATAGAACCACTTTTAACGATAACTGAAGAGTGTAACCTATAAAAACTATGAATATTCCCTTTAATCCACCTTTTTGTAAACCAAATACCTACATTTAGAGTTTTTCACAATATTACACACTTTATGTACAAAGTGCAAATTCAGTTAGTAATTTTTGACAACATATGAGAACATTTAAACAGGTAAAACATTAATTTGCCTGATATTAGTGAACACATTCCCTTATTCATAGGAAAAGTATGAAGAATATTGAATATGGCACGATATACGTCTGTCAACAAACTATTATACAGCGATCTACAGGAACGTCCCGGACAAGCATCTTAACTGCTGACCTTGATTTGACACCTGCTGGAGTAATGAACCGCCATTTGGCAGTCAATCAATTTTTGGCACAACACCGGCACACATTTCCAAGTTGTCAGCGGTGACGCATAATAGATGTGACTTATACGGCGAAGCAACATATTTATGTTTTTTTTTCTACCTTATTAGACATATTTGGACTGATGCTACTTATACGGCGGTGCAGCGTGTACGATGGAAAATACGGTACTTCCAGAGCTCACCGATCCTGAGTGATGTGTAACACTCACAGTAAGTACCATTGAAACACACGGCAACACGACTGGTTCAATCGTTTTGTGCTCTTTATTCTCACACATGTCTGGACTTTTTTATTTTACAGCTTTTCCATCATATTTTGGGGAAAACTACAACACATGTTCAAATTCTTTCTGCGAGTTTATCCGTGTCTGGGAGCTCCGTTAGGGTTTACTGATAAACACAAACAAGTAAATCAACTGGAACAACTTCACAAATCATTGTTTTGGACTAAAATGTCAGGAACTGTAAATATTCCCGACACTTGAAGGGGGTGAAGTGAGTGATCAGACGTGCAGTCGTGTAAATTCTGAGGCTTTCGAGTCAAAACTCGGCAGCAGTAAACTTGTGAACTCACTCTGTTCTCCATCAGCCTGGCTTTCTCCTGCTGCGCCTCCTTCAGCATCTTCTCCATCTCCTCTATCCTCTGGGCCTCCAGCCCACAGGAGCTACAACACACAAAGGGGAAGTTGCATCAATTACACGGCTGTGACAAGGCTCGGGATGAAAAAGGTAAACATACATGCCTGGAAACCAAACACTGGGAAGCAGCGGGGAAGCAAGAGCAACACGGCTTCCCCATTAACGCCAGTAATGTGAACTTCAAAACTTGAGTGGGTTGGCATGGCAACAGCCAGCATAGTCACGTGTAACAAAAGAGTTTGTCGCGGGAACAAAGCACGGTGACCTTTCCTCTAAGCGAGGGGGCAGATTTGGGTGTTCCCATGGAAACAGAGCCGACTGCTCCTTTTTTTTCCAGCCTCTCACCTTTCCGGGGCACAGATGGAGTTGCCGGTGGAGACGCTCGTCTCCAGGCTGTCTGAGCTCTCCAGGCTCAGGGTGTCGTAGGCCTGGTTACCACCCGGTGGCGACTGATGATGCAGGATGGAGTGATGAACTGTCGGAGAGGGATCTGTGGAAAAAAGAGAGTGCACAACGCAGGCTTACATCACCCTCTACTGATGGAGGCAGGTCATTGCTATCGGTAGATCAGAATCACTGGTGAGGAGCCAGACAGAAAAACTACAGACGGGTGAAGAGAGCAATGCTAAACATTTCATTTCATTACCAGATGACTGCTTTTTAGGGGTTCAAATAAACTTGTAATTGACTGAAAGTTGGCATACTGATCAAGAATGGTGAAAGAATCCATATTTTAAGCGTGTGCAAAGTTTCTGTAGGAAAATAACTTCTTTATTGACTTTATTTAAACCAGCCTTGACACGGTATGTTTCTTTGAGATTCTACTTAGGAGTGACAGGGATGGATAAGAATAGGAATGAGATCATCAGAGGTACAGCACAGGTTGAACAACTGGGAGATAAAGTTTGAGAGGCCAGACTGAGATGGTTTGGACATGTCCAGAGGAGGGACAGTGGGTATATTGGTAGAAGGATGTTAGAAATGCAGCTGCCAGGAAAAAGACAAAGAGGAGATGTATGGATGCAGTTAGAGAGGACATGGAGGTAGATGGAGTGAGGACAGAGGATGAAGAGGACAGAGATGGAGGAGGATGGCTTCTGAAGATGGAACAGCAGAAAGAAAAATAAATATTGGTCTTGAGCTCCGATCCCCGATGAACAAGATTCATTTCAAGCAAAGCTTTCATAACTGTTCATAATGTTGTGGCTGATCAGTTTATACCCTTCCTATATAAAGTCACACCAGGACTGCAGTTAAAGTTCAACAGTGATGCATGGATGTGAGCAGGCTGGAGTACCGTTGCACTGCAGAGCCACTTGTTTCCTGGAGTCCACGTCTAATGGGTTTTTCTCTCTCGGCATGAACTATAAACCCCAAGAAAAACACAAAAACGTCACGCCGTGAGCTGCTGTCAAGGTGCGGTGATGATGTAGAAGCGTGAAACTGACCGTGGAAGGTGAGTTTTTCTCATGCGTCGCGCTGCCGGAGTGTGACAGGATGGCAGCGCTGAAACTCGGAGCGCTTCCCTGCCCAACCTCGCCATCGGATCTGGACTTCAACATCTGCGAGAAGAAACAAAACATACTAATCTTACTTTTCAGGGTTTCACAGTGAACTTGTGTTTCTGAGTCTAAATTTACCTTTAACAGGTGGGCAGCTCACAAACCACCCCAACATTTTGACTCTTAGATGACTTCTTAGATCCATAACTACTCATTTCTAACATATAACCAAGATTTCCTCGTAGGAACAAGGTGTTAGGTTTTTGCTTTGCTGTTAGTGCTCTTTATAAAGACAATACAAAGAGAGCAGAGGTGAATTTACCTGCCCGTGTCTGCGTGTGGAAAAAGACTTTGCAGGCAGAGGTGGAGGACATGACTGAGGATCTCCAGCAGCCATGATGTCCTGGTACCAGCGCTCAAGATTAATGGGAGGCATTACATTCCTGCTGAGCTCAGGCTGGCTCTGAGGTGATCAAAAGCATTCAGCCAATTAAAAAAAAAGGTGTAAAACAGGCAGGAAAGGCAAACGTGTCTTTTTTAACCGTATCAAGCTACAGCAAAGATTAGATGTTCAGTGGATGGTGCAGTTCAGTGCTTCTAGGAAGGACAAACCTGTGCAGAAAGAAAAGAGGAAGGGCCACGTGCAGCCAAGTGACCCGGGAAGGCAGATTCAGACGAGGCAAGATGGAATGATGGAGTAGAGGAGGAAGAGGAGGGGTTAGCTCTCTGCATCCCAAAGATCTGGCTTAACTGACTGACTGTGATGTACTCCTTCACACAAGACACAGCAGGGAGAGAGAGCAGAGGTTGGAGACAAAGAACATCTGGAGCTGTAGCAGATCATGGCAAGGAGCAGGAAAGACGTCTACCTCACAGGGCAGAGCTGGTGACACAGTGAGGGAGAGGCAGTGGAGAGCGGCGGGGGAGGAGGAGGGAGGCTGCAGGGAAGCACTTCCGTACATCCTATAGACATCAGACAGCCTGAGGTACTCCTGCAGCAACAGTCGGAGCCATCACAAGAATACAGTCTCAAGCTTAGAGTCAGCCGCAAGTTTACCGAGGAAAAATACGAAGATCTGCATCTAAATACGTTAGAAATGAATCCTAACTGCTGTGACTGGATGTTAGAAGTCCATTCAAACAAGACGTGCACTGATGTCCCCGTCTCTGAGGGGTTTGAATAGTGAATGTTTGTAGTTTTGGTGATGAGTGTATTTCTGGGCTGGAATTCAACAGGGAATGTAAGTAAACCTAAATGTTTTTACTGCAAGATATTCAAGTGGGGAGGAGTTGCACTGTGGAGAAGAACAGAGGGAGTTTTTTGTTTGTTTGTTTGTTTGTTTCAGAGGTGGTGCAGAGGGCAGTTTTATCCACCACCAGGTGTGGAGACAGTGGGTGGCCAAAGGTGGCCTTGGCCACCATAGATTAATCTTCAGCCACCCCATTCATTTAAGGCAAGCATTTTAAAATAATATAAAACTAGAAAGCATTATGTCCTCAAATGTTTGGGGTGGCTGATTTACACACACACACATGGTGTATGGTGGTGGCCATCTTGCATTTTGACATGGCAACCCAGTTTTTGATAAGACCCTTTGTTATGCCTAGATACAGCCACACACCAAAATGGAAGTCGGTACACGACTTATTATTCAAGTTATTGTGCTCACAACATGCACAGATCCTTTTTTGCTCTGCGACGGGGGGGGGGACAAACAAAAGGCCTAACCTGACCTACTACCACACACTGCAATCCTTCTGCTTCGTGCTAACAGCAGCGAACACACAACATGCCCAGTTTAAGAAAAACACTGGATTGATCAGGATGTGTTTTTACTTTTTCAAACTGGATTTAGTTCAGATTTACCTCTTGCAGCCTGACAGGACAGAGATCAGGGGAGGGGATGTGGGAGGAGGAGGAGGAGAAGGCAGAGGAGGGACAGGGGCTATGAGGAGGACCATCCACATAAACAAGGTCAGGTTCGCTGATGTGAAGCAACTCCTGTTCACAAAGTTCGCCCGAGTGAAAAACAACAAACAAACAAACAAAAGTCTGCGATTGCAGTAAAAATTCTTTAGCGTGGGAGGTCGAGATGTGAGGTTTCACGTGGACCTGCTCACCTCTTTCATGCTGCTGCTGGACTTTGGGAAGCTCCTCCCTCCTGTCAGAGTGTGGTACCTGGTCTCCAGGACACACAGCCTGTCCTGCTCCTGGATGGACAGATGGACAGATGTTACCTGACTGTGTATAAACATCTTTGTCAGTGCAGAGAACTCTTAAGAACACGCAGAGCCCCACCTTGTGTAGCAACTGCAGCGCTGCCATCTTGTCTCTTTCCATCTTCTCCCAGTCTTGAGACACCTGCATCCCCAGCTGCTTCACCTGAGCTTCAAGAGCAGCCATCTTCTCCTGTGAACGGACAAACGCATCAACTCGTGAACGCGCTCACGAGTTTCCACAGCTGCCTACAGCACGCGCACCCACCTTCCTTCTGGCCACACTGCAGTGATACTCGGCTCGTTCTTGGAGGAGCTGCGAGCACCGAGCCTCCTTCTTCTCCTCCAGACTGCTCTCCTCCTCCAGCTGACAGAACTCCAGCTCCTCAAACTGTTTGGTCCCAGACTCCAGAGCTTCGGCTGTCTGTTCACATACAGTTGTGGCTCAGCAGGATTATAAAACCATCAGGCTAAAATAATCCTAAACTGTTCTCAAAGTGCAAAAAGTGAGAATTAACAGGTCTACGAAGCCAAAACGTCATCACGGCTCAGAGGATGTTCATTGAAAAATTCATGTTTTGCTTAAATTCTGAATGTGACACAACACCGTTTGACAGCTAAACATCAGTCTTTGTTAAATATGCCTAAAAATAATAGTAATATAGTCTAAATATAGGCTTTTTAAAATGTTAAGCACAAAATCAAATTATGCATCTGACTCATAAATGTGCGTCTTAAAACCGAATACCTGCATGTCTGCATTTACACGAGTCTTTAAAAAAATAAAGCTAAGATATATATTTATATATATATATATGAGAGGTGTCAGCTGAAATATGGCTAAAAAAGACAAAAATCACTCAAGACTTGTTGGTTATTTCCAGCCAGCTGTGCAAAGCTTAAATATGAATAAAATAGGAAAAATGAGAAAAGAGAAACAAACAAGTAGATGTTTTGTATGAACTTCATGCAAATCTGTACAAGTGAGCAGTTTCCAGTGTTTGTCTTTGATTTTGTATTTGTTAGAAATACAGTAGGGATGCACACTATGGGATTTTTGGCCGATATCTGATATGCTGATATGTTAAAACTTATTTGGCCGATAACCGATACCGATATTTTCCCGTAGACCTACTTACAGAGACTACCTGTGGAATTAAAATACTACATTATTGTCAGTTTGGCCTGCTACCAAATGCAGTTGCCAAAAAGGGGGTTGAAAATGATGTAACACATGGATTATGTTTAATGTCAGATTTATTCATGACATTTACTCTAACACTAACAACACTCGAACAGTGCAAATTTGTAAATTTTCACAAATCTAAACTCAACGGCGCGCGTGATGTCATAATGTTGTGGGCATCTTTGTCACTGAGTTATACAAAAACGTCACCTTATACTGTAAATAAACGGCGTCTTTTATATCCGTGAGTTATTTTGATGGAATGGCCGATGTCCAATGTTTAACTTTATCGCTAATATCGGCTGATACTGATATTATCGTGAATTCTTAGTATTTATAAAAACCTACAGATCTCAGGTGTTTTATAAAATTGTTTTTTGCTCCTTTTAAAACAGAAGCTATATGTTCTGAAAAATCTGGATTGACGTATGAAATATAAATGTGACTTTCAGCTCCTTTATGGTTTTATAATTGGTCACTTTTATGATCATTGAGCTAATGTTTGATGGGATAGTAGCTTAGTTTACAACACAGACTCTGAAAGGTATCAAATCAGACCATATGGTGCGAGACAGCATTATTATTAAAGACTTTATAACTGATCTAAATATTAGCATCACTTTGTGCTTCTCTGTTTTCTTCTTTTCGTGGCTGATAGAGAAATAGTGCAATATATACAGTAAGTGTATACATTATACTTCTTCTGTATGTATGTACATAGCTTTTTCTGGAGCTAGCTTGTGATGTTTGTAGTCTTTGTTTTTGTCTCCCGTCGTGGAGTGAAAAGTTATCTCCATCCGTCCGTCTTGTGAGCTGAATATAATCTGAAAGTAAGTAAAGTATCGACTTCCATTTTGGTGTGCGAACAAAAGGGTGTAGATGTTTGGAAATGTTGTTGGTTAAACGCATGCAAGGTCTTAAAGCAGGGGTCTGCAACTTTTTTAATAAACAGAACCGTTTCTGTCTCTTTGTTCACTACAAAAAATGTGTCTGGAGTCCTTAAACCTGCTACAACTGAGAATATCAACTGCTGGCTCATGGGCCGCTTCCAGTTTGTTAGAGAGGAGGTATTTCCAACCAAAAACAGCTAATGAATTTTTGCATTTATTGATATTTTTACATTTTAGGGCTAAATATAAGACCATATTGATGTAAAGAGGGGAACAAAATTATAATTTACTCATTTTGATAAGAATCGAAACGCTGAACTCTGCAGGAATGTGCAAGTCCTTTTGTTTGTGGAAAACATTAATTAGGTTTCCCATTTTGAAGTAAAACGGCACAAATTCAAAGTGTGTGAAGTGATTACATTTCATGTCAAGGCCTCAAAGAGCCGCATGTGGCCCTAGAGCCGCAGGTTGCAGACCCCTGTCTTCGAGCAAAGCTGTTAATAACTGGATTAGTTGTTACTAAAATCTACAACCACCATCAAGCATCCATAATGAGGAAGACCAAAACTGCTGCGGGAAACACTTTGTCTGCTGCAGGATTGCAGACCGTACATATTTATCAAGAGGCAGCAGCGGAGAATGAAGAAAGGCACGATAAGAAGGTTTATGAGCCACTCTGAGCGATTCAAAGCAGAGTCAGAGTTACGTCTGTGGCTGTTTCTGTGCACGTTTCAGCTCTGTGGTGTTCAGGGTGATAGGACTCACTGACCACTGACCCTGCTGAGCTGCTCCTGTAACTGTTCCCTTAGAGACAAAGGGCACTTATCAAACTGCCTCTTCAGCTCATTGTACTCATTCCTCTGCTTTTCCAGGACCTTCCGTTCAGCCGACACATTAGCTCTCCCCTAAAAACACACAGAAACACACAAACACACACGTGTGCTCACATTCAGACACGCCAGGGAAGGGAAACAAAAAAAGGATCAGGGACTAAAAATGCATGCAGTCGTGCTCTAAAGCTGTTAAAGCAGATCAAAGTTATTGTAGGAGGCAGAGGTTAGGGCTGGTAGTACGGGCTGGGGAGATTTAAAAAAGAGGTTTCTGCTTTTCTGAAGCAGCTGAGCCACATTTCAGCCATTTGCCTTATTAAACATTTCTTTTAAAAGTTGTGCTTTGTGATTTAAGACAGTCGACCAAGTGAGAGGTGCAATCTGATATTTGATTAAAAATGTCCGTGACGTGAATCCAGCCTGCACTTTCAGAAAGAAGCGAGTCCAACCCGGATGCTGAAGTGCAGCTGACGGTGTTGGTTGCGCCGCTTCCTCACCTTGTCCTTCTCTCTCTGGGTGGTCTTGTCCAGCTGGCAGAGTTGGAGCTGCAGCTGAGAGATGATCTCCTTCTCCGCCTCCACCTGCTCCTGCTCGGCACGCCTCTCGGCCTGCAGCAGGGCCTGCTCCATCTCCACCTACACACACAGCTGCCGTTGAGCTAAATAAACACTTGAAGGTGAAAAGGCTCGGGACGGTGCGAGCGCCTCGTTTGTCATGGCTGATGTGTTTGTGTGTGTGGACCTCCTGTTTGGTCTCTTGTAGCTGCTGCTCCAGTTCACCGACTCTGTGCTTCAGGCCATCAACCCTGACCAGGATCCTTTTCCGCTCCTCCTCCAGGTAGACCTGCTCCTGCCTGGCTAACAGCTCTTCACACTGAGAGCAGAATTATAAGTTTTCTTTATCAAAGAATACTTTTTATTTTTAATAACAGTTGAACGGAGGGAGCATCTTTAAAATGTGTTTCACCTCTTGATGTGTGCTCTCCGTGCTGCTAGACTCCTCTCTCTGCATCTCCTCATCCTCCTTCACCCTCTGACCTCCCTGCAGATACGTCCCCCCTCCCGTCTCTGAGCCCGCTCCTCTGGCGCCCCCCAGCAACCCACTCCTCACCAGCTCTGTGGCGCTGTCATCTTGATTATACTCGGCGCACAGACTCAGGATGGTCTCCAGTCTCTGCCGCTCCTAAAGGAGACACAAACAGGCAGTCCAATCATCTGGATCACGTTGCAGACTCGATGCAGTCGCCCTTGGGTGACATTGTCCCATTTAGGCAGCAACCCCTTATAACCACAGGCATGGGACGAATGCAACACAAGGGAGGGGCTTTATCCAGGTTAACAAGAGCTACGCCGAGGTCCCCCCCCTCCCTGAGGGATTTGAATAATGAATGTTTGTAGTTTTGGAGATGAGTGTCTTTCTGGACTGGAATTAAAGAGAGAATGAAGTAAACTTTATTGTTTTTGGTGCAAGATATTCAAGCGAGTAGGAGTTCAGTTTTTGTTGTGTGACTGCATCTAGGCTTAAGAAAGTTTCCTATGAAAAGATGGGTTACCACATCATAATCCAAGATGGCCACCATTTTACATACATATGTATATATATATATGTATGTATATATATATATATATATA